GTATGAATAAAATTTACTTTGGGTGTATATCTTGTATCTCCCTATATCTAGTATATTTGGGAATATATCTTTGGCTCATTGAAATGGGGCACTTGGATATATTTTTTAGAGAATATGATGTTTTGGCAAAGAATCTCTTCCTGGACCATACTGTAGCCAACTTCTTGAGAACTGTTCAGCAGAATTGATCCCAGGATAAAGAACTAAGATTTTTTTGAGAATTACTGTGTGTCAGGCATGGTGCTCAGCTTTCTCCATGCAATCTCTCATCCTTAAAATAATTTGATGAGTAAGATACTATTATTAATCCCATTTTACAGATGAGTAAGGTGCTATTATCAATGCCATTTTCCAGATGAAGAAACTGGAGTGAAGTTAAATATATCTTATCCAAGGTTACACAACTGTTAAGTGATAGAGGATTTGAACGCCAGTTTTTGTGATCCCAAAGCCCATACTCTTAATCACCACATGCTACAGTCAAGATACTGCATGAATAGGCATTTGCCTTACAATGTTTTGTTTGATGTCTCTCCCTGCTCCAGCCTCAAATAGGGCTATGAGTCCCAGCAGTTGGCAAGTCTTTGGAATGGGTGTTGGGTATGTTGGCACCTAGCAGCTATAACCATTCAAAGCTACCCTTAGAAAGGGAATTAAAACCTCCTTCCACCCCTCTGTACCTGTTTTGGGGAAGTCCGGACCTATGTAGGTATTGAGGAAAACCTTGTTAAGAGGCTTGAATTCAGAAAGCAGACAGCTTTTCTGGTTCACCAAAATGTTACTAATAATCCCCTCCTCTCCTCAAGTGACATTTAAGTTCTAGGTAGTGCTGTCTTATTGGAGACTTTTCTCAACTGGGAACCCTATTCCAAACCTCTTTGCCTTGACCATTCTGAGCTCTCTGAGTTCTGCTTCTCTCACAAGTCAGTGTGATAACAGTTGCTAAGTAGCAACTGAAGAAAGAAGGCAGTGAATGGAGAAGAAAGCTCATGGACTGGGACCCAAAAATCTTTTCCACCCTTGAGACGTTTTTCATTATAGCAGAACCTATTCATTTGTGGTGGATGTTAAGCTTCTCAAGCCCTTTCTATTGAGCCTGCTCAAGACTAATAATACTAATTGATTAGCTCCAGGACTCATGTCTCTGTCGTATGTCACATGGAATGATGACAGAGTAGAGCTATTAAGTGGGGCTGTTATGAATTGACTAGCAAGGAAGAGGGCTCCTCTAGAGGTACTTGCCTACAGCTATGGAGATCCTCCCTTTCAAAGAGCTATCTATGCTCCTGGCAGAGGGCTATATGTATACTAATAAGCCTTTTGAGTCTTATCTGCCCTTAGCAAAGAGAATGACCTTGTAAAACAGGATTATCAACAAGAAGAGGTAGTCTTGAAAATGAGTCTCTGAAATAATTAGTAATGACTGTATCAATATAGTTGAACTGGGCCATCAATTGTATAATGCCCAGGCTAGTTTGCACTGATTCTTTACATATGAATAGTTCTGACTTATAACTTATACATATAAAACATTCTCTTGCTGCAAGATTGATGCAGAGCATTTTTTTTTACAACACTGAATTCTTAATAGAATGGCAGGGCACTCTTGATTGATCAAAGGGGCCATACTTAAATCCTTTAAAAGGATTCCAGAAAGCAGAATGTAATATAAGTAATGGAGTAAACACTGAAGTCTGATCCTAGCCCTTTTATAGCTGTAGTACCTTTGAGAAGTTCACTTAACCTCTCTTAGTCTGTTTCCTCTGTAAAATGAGGGAGTTTAAATAAATCTGTTTCCCAAATTCTGAAACCTACCGCAGATTACTCGAGATGATTTTTGGTGGCACGTGAGATAATTTCAAGCAGTTTCCTGATAAAACATTAAAATAAACATTGAATCACATAGTTGAGAAAGTTATTCCTTTTTCAGTCTTTCTGATTATGTCAAAGACAAAGTCTCAGTTTGGTATCAAGATATGTCTTTGATAGTTCTTTAACACTGGATAATTGTTTGGGGGTGGAGATAGGGGGGCAGGTATTGTGAAAAGCCTCCATTCCTCAAGAGTTTCTATAGAGGGGAAATCACTTCCATTCCTTAGAATGGAAAAGTACAGAAATACTATCTTGCTCTGTTTACCTCATTTCCCTTCCACTTGGACGGAAAGTAGTGTGTTATACAAGTGGTGAGTTCGGGAGGGGGAACCACGCGCGCGAGGCACAGCTCTAAGAAAGCTTCTCTCGTGGTGTGGCCCATTCTCAAAAGGCATGCTCCTCCTGCTCCACCGTGTCGTAGGCCTTCGTTGACAAACTGCTTAGGCCTGGGTGAGAACTATTAGGAAACCCATGGGACCGTAAATCCAAACACGAAAACCGCATTCTCTCATTCGTCCTTATTGGTAATCAAGCTGATATTTTGATTGCCGTTTTATTCCTCTCTCTGTTTCTCATTTGGTTTCAAACTCATAGGAGATGTAAGAGGAAAAGCAGTTATCACTCCTTAAAACCTCACTAAGAACCTCCTTTTTTAATAGAAATCTGGCTTGAGCTCAACACCCTTCATAAGCAAAGCTGTGTAGAATTTAATAATATGGTTGTGTTTTCAGTGAAGTTATATTTATAATTACCATCTATAAAATAATTCATTTAAGTTTTAAAAAGTGAATTTTTAAAACATTACATAGTACTGATGATACATGGGCATGGTAAAAATTACAAAAGTGATACATAAATGACTAAAGTTTAGAAAACACTGAATAAGATGATCTCTACGATCTGTTCCAGATTTAAATTCTTTTCAATGTGTATTCCAATAACATAAAAAAATGGTTATGTGATAAACCGGGTAAAAGAAGGGACCTTCTAACATAGCATGTACTATGTTATTTTCTTTCACTTTGAAATATATCATTATTGAGGAAGCTAAACTTTTATTCTATGGCAATTTGTTTATTTATAAATATCAATACCCTTTTCTTAATATTTTACTAGGCAGTTGAGTATTGATATCTTTTTGATAGCATGGTGGTGATGGTATTTTGTTTTATTTTGTTTGTTTTTCTTTCACTGAAAGCAGTCTAGTTCTGGGTGAGGTTTTTGAACTAGAAATCTTGGAGGACAAGAACCATGTCATCACTGTCTGCTCTGCCCAGTACAGTGTTTGGCATACTAGTGTTAGATAAATATTTGAACAAGTGAATGAATGAATGAACAAAGAAGCAACAAAAATAAACTGAGTTCTTTGTCTTGAAGGTATAGGCCTAGTTTGCATTTCTTTCTGAAAGCTGTCGGTAGGGCTAGCTGTAAGGAAGTTGAGGCCTTGGGGCAATCAGACAGTAATATTTTCATGTAAGTGAAATTTGGAGCCAGTACTTGTGGAACATTTAGAATAACCTTGTTAGGAGAAATCACAAAAAGAAGAAGGTAGCCCTACTAATTTTGCTTTTGTTTATGGTCATGTATGAGAGGCTAGGGTCTTCCTTTCTTTCCAAGCTCTTTATTTTTTATAAAAATAAGAACTACCTTTCTCTCTCTCATTCCTGTACTACTTCTCTTATCATCTCCACATCAGGGAAAACACCCCAATTTTCCTTGCCTTAGGGAGACTAATTTAAAATGCAGCTCACTCTTTCCCCAGACACTCTTAATTACAGTTTCTGTTCTGATGAAGTTACCCAACTCTTTTTTACTGGCACACTAGATGAACTGCAATACTGGTGGTAAATTTTTTTATTGCCGTTTATTCATGCAACAAATGTCATATTTCAAGGGGTTTGTTCTAAGAATCCTGAAATGAATTCTCTACGTATCAGAGAGAGAGAATATTAACCAGACATTTTTAATTCTTAGTTATACTAACTGACGTTATAATAACCATGCTTTGAGTGATTACATTCCCAGATCATGTAATTTATTTTAAAACATTTTGCGTACATGCAGAAAAACAGAATTTGAGGACTCTGTTTCATTCTGGTGAATACATCTTAAATGCGTGCTACGTTTATTCTCTACAAGTATATTCTTTCTTTAATGGTCCAGTGATTAACTCTGATTCTAATTCGTTATGCACAATGACAGCATCCTAACTGGAGTTATTTGGCATGTTCAGGTTTTAATATTTTCTGTTACTGAAAATTTAATTCTGTACATTTTATATTTGTGAAATCTCTCTGCCTGGTATCTTCGTGTTCTGTTTATTACTACGTGGTCTTTACTGTGTAAAGTAAACTCTAGGGATGCTTGGTATCACATTTTGGTTTATTCTTATTGCATTATAAAGTTGATAGGACAGCAGTAACATTAATGATAGCTAGAAGTTGGATTCTGAAACTAATCATCATCTATAAAAATTAGCATCTAATCTCTGTCCTAACTTTCAATTAGTATCCAGGTAAACAATCAACACAGATCTATTATTATCATAATTGAGAATATAATAGGTCTATTTTGGCCAAGAAAAAAAAGACTTTAAAATTATCTAATTTTTTTTGCTTCTAAAGATCTAGATTCTTGGCTTATAATTGTAATCTTTAGATATCTCTAGAGTCATTGTGCTCTGTCATGAAAGTAATGGAAGAGCCATTTGCTATAATGACAAGCTGGAAGTTTTGAGAACACTGTATTGTCTAGTTCAAAAACAACAACAATTACAAAAACAGAACTTTGCCTAGCTGTCTGTGTGCACTGGCAATATGGTTATTCTCTGATTAGATACTTTGACTGCTGGATACTATCCTTATCTGGGGTCTGAGGTGTTGATGTGGCAGCATATTATGATAGGAAAAAAAGGCCATGGATTTGAGAGGCAGACCAACCTGAATGTGAAATTCAGTTCTGTCTCTTTTGTGCTAGTACCTTGGGCAAGTTACTTAACTTCCTCTGTAAAGTGAAAATTATAATACTTCTTTAGAGTTGCTATGAGGATGAAAGCACCCGGAGTGAGTTCTTGTTAAATGGTAGTTGAATGAGGAATACAGTGTGGTATGTTGTTGATATTTTCTCAGGTGAAGTAAAGGACAAAAATGTTCAGGTGGTTGAGCTACCCATTGTAGACAGTCTTCATCCTCGTCCTCCATATTTACCTCTGGCTGTACCAGAAGACCTTGCAGATCGACTTGTACGAGTCCATGGTGATCCCGCAGTGTGGTGGGTTTCCCAGTTTGTCAAGTACTTGATCCGTCCACAACCTTGGTTGGAAAAGGAAATAGAAGAGGCCACCAAGAAGCTGGGCTTCAAACATCCAGTTATTGGGTAAGAATCTGATTTGTTCCTCATGAAATGATACGTAGTAGCAGGGATATATACCTTTACAATATGTTGTGAACTTTACAATATATAGTTTAATTTTCATAGTCTCACCCAAAAACAGAGGTTCCAGAGTTCACCTTAGGCCATAGGGAGATCATTCTTCCTTTGTTCACTTAGAACAGCAGAGTCATCATACTTTGTCACCTTTATTCATTTATTCATCCAGCAAATGTATTAAATCCATGTTTCTGAAATTAACTGTCTCTCTTGGGGAAACCAGCAAAATTTTATTTTATTGGGAGTGTTTTGGGTATTATACATGACTCCTGTCTTACCCTAACCAGGGCCATGAGATGAAACTGTTACATCTATAGCTTTTCTGTTGAACCTTATTCTTAGGCTTCTTTAATTGCCACTGGTGATTATTTCTCATTTTTGATGTTCTGGGGTTTTTTTCGGTCCTGGAAGCTATTTTGAGAATAAGAATATCATTTGTAATATAAGATAATGTTAAAATTATTATTTAAAATTATCTCTGGGCCCACTTGGGAGTTATGTACATATGTATTCAGGCTCATGCTTATGTTAAGGGAGATGTATCAGGAAATCCCAGGAGTAAGAAAAATCCAGTAGAGCATCTTTGCTCACAAGCATGAGTTCCTGTACACATACCTAAAAAGTTAAGGAAAGAAGAGTTTTCCTGGGTCTCAATGCCAGATTTCACACGATGGAAATGTTCTTTGCCTAATGGAAAGAATATTGGACTGAGAGTTAAGTGACCAGGGTAATATTCCTGGCTTTTCCCTAATTCTGGGCCAAGTTTCTCAATAATAGAATCAGACTTTGATTTTCCCATCTGTAAAATAGGGAAGGTAATACCTGCCCTAAAAATGATAATGTGATCCTATAAGTTTGGGAAAAGGATTTTAGTTCTTTGGAAAAAAATGCACTGTGAAACGTTATTACCTTTCAGAGAGACTGATGCTTAAATAATTCCTGAAAATAGACTTGTAGGCTAGACTATGGCATTCTATAGCTTATCCTGTTTGTAATACAGTCAGCTATTGATTAATATTAATATATGTTTTGATTCATTCACTTAGTTGCAGAACATTTATTGAATACCTGCTACTATGGAGGACAGGGATTAATTTTTTTTAAATGGCTCCTTCCAGCTCATTACAGTCTCTGGGAAGAGACTTATACAACTAATGTTATATAGATAGAATGTGATAAATACCCTGAGAGAAGCATTAAAAGTATTATGAGAGATCAGGGAAAGGGAACTGTACTTCCAGCTGGATCAGGAAAGGCTTCATAGCTGCAGTGTTTGAACAGGATCTTGAAAGATGGAGAAAGATACAGTTTAGTAGTTAAATTGCCAAAATACCTTCAACTTCATTATCTCATTGATCCTGTAACACATTCCTGTGAAGTGGGCAGAGATAACCATTTTACAGGTGAGGAAACTAAGAAAAGAAAATCTCTGCCTAAAGTTCTAGAGTTGATAAAGGCAAAACCAGGACTTAAACTGTCTTAACTTTATTTGGATTTTCTGTACTTTTACATACCAGAAAGCTACCCTTATTAATTTTCTATAGACTTATCCACCATATTGAGAATTAGCCAAATGTAGAAAATTGAAGTACCACAGACAATTAAGTTATTTGCACATTAAGGTAGTGTGCTATAATGGAGGAGAAGCGCACTAGGATTCAAGGATCTGGGGGGGTCCAGCGGCTGGCCTGGTGGCGCAAGTGGTTAAGTGCGCCCGCTCCGCTGCGGTGGCCCGGGGTTCGCCAGTTCGGAACCCCGGGCACGCACCAATGCGCCACTTGTCAAGCCATGCTGTGGCGGCATCCCATATAAAGTGGAGGAAGATGGGCATGGATGTTAGCCCAGGGCCAGTCTTCTTCAGCAAAAAGAGGAGGATTGGCAGATGTTAGCTCAGGGCCAATCTTCCTCACGAAAAAAAAAAAGGATCTGGGTGGGGGTCCCATCTAGCTTGCACCACTTAACAAGTTATGTGACTTTGGGCAACTTGATCATTCTGGACCTTCATTAATTGCCACTCTTTCCTCATTTGTTTAAAAAAAAAACAAAAAACTAGGGTACGTGGTAGGTATCTAAGGTTTCTACGAGCACAATACCAAACAATTAGATTTTTGTATTTACCCATCATTCATTCATTCATTTATTCATGTGTTTGGTGCAATTGGGAATAAATAAAATCAGCTTCCTTGCCTCGAAAGAGCCTGATATCTAATAGTGAATATCAGGCAAGCACCCAAATAACTTTTACTTTTGTGAAGACTGGGTTAGAAATGTTTATGAGAGCAACCAGCCCCCCTTTGCCTTAATGTTGTCTTTTTGTTCACTCAAATGTCCTCAGAAGCATCAGTTTCCTTAACTGTCAGATGAAAAAGTTACATTAAATTAAATGACTTTCAATATCCTTCACAGGTCTAACATTCTCATTCTTCCGTAGAGATTCCATTATGGTCCTCTCTCAAATTATTGCTTCAGGCCTAATTTCAGGAGTATTGAGAATTGCTGAGTAGTACTCTGCTGCTGTCTCAAATGCTTATCCTCTTCCTTTGATTTTTCCCTCTATTATTATAGCTCTCCTTTGTTTTTATTTTCACTTTCATATATCCCACCACACATCTTCCCTTCTGTCTTATCTTCATATGTATAGAACTTACTGACACCTATTCTATAATGTTAGAGCTAAAGAAAATACATGGTGAAATCAGAATATCAAATAGTGTTTCTTCTCATGAAACCTTTCAGTGGAATTGTTGTGTCTGTCCCACTTCATCTCTATAGAGCACAATGAACAATTCCAATTTCCCAGGAGAAGCAGTGATTAAGAAGGATATGGGAAGGAAAAGATGATAGAATAGGTGTTCATATGACAGTATTCACATCCAGACTATAGGCGGGAATGCCAAGGAAGGAAGAGGCATCAAGATGTCAGAGTAACTACAGTGAAATCAAACCCTCACTCCAGATTCATAATAAGGGGCTGGCCTTAGGCTTGACCTAAGGCATGCCCATATACTGTGACCTAAAGGGAAACAAATCTCCCTTTTTTCTTTTCCCACATATGACTAGTGGTTCAGTAATTTGGGGACGGGGAGGGGATGCGAGAAGGGCAAAGTTAAGGAGAGTTTTAATTTATGAAAACAAACTATGACTATTCTTATTTTTATTAAAATTATTTTGGAAGCACTAAAATGGGAGGAGAATGCTGTGGTAGTCAATGCCTTATTCAGTGCAGAACAATGTAAGTTTGTGTCCCCAGTTTTATAATTTTGGAGCTTTTCTTAAATAGGACAGATGAGATCAGTATCTGCTTGTATTTGATAGAGTGAAAAACAGAGAAAGGAAATTCCTTATGCATGCAACAAAAGGGCAGGGATGGCTCCATGAACTTAAAATAGTAAGAACCCTTCAAAGGTTTTCCTGCCTTGATTGTGCTGTAGGAAGAATCCATGCAGGTCTGTGTTTTCCTCAAACAACTTTAAATTCTCTAAGCCGGCAGTTACAGTGACTATACTGGGTAAAATGAAGAAAAAGAAAACTTGGCATCAAAATGTTACAAACAATGTATTTAATGTTCTGTAATAACAACTGTGAATCTTAGTATCATTTGTTGTCAAAAATCTTAAAAGTTAAATCCAGTTCTTTCTGGAAGGCTGGTTGGTATTTTGCTGCCTGGTATGTAGTATAACTCTGGAATTTCCCATTTATTCCTGATGTGCCCATTACTTTCTCTATAAGAAAACATTCTTCAAAGGCTTTACTTATTTTCTAATTCCCCTTGTATTATGTTAACATGCAAATAATGTTTAGAATATATGTGTTTGAATTTTTTAAGTATTTTATTTTTTCTAATGGCAAAAATGAAAGAAAAATTGGTTTAAAATGTCCATATTGCCACCATGAATAGGAGTGTAAAGTTGAATACCCTAAAAGCACCCAGGGGATCAGAACATTATCAGCAGAATCTGACTTACTCCCTCTGCCCCCCAGAGTCCATGTCAGACGCACAGACAAAGTGGGAACAGAAGCAGCCTTCCATCCCATTGAGGAATACATGGTGCACGTTGAAGAACATTTTCAGCTTCTTGCTCGCAGAATGCAAGTGGATAAAAAAAGAGTATATTTGGCCACAGATGACCCTTCTTTATTAAAGGAGGCAAAAACAAAGTAAGTTAGATGAACTAGTGATTCTGGAGTGGGACTGTCTCTTTTCAGTTGAAAGGAATCCTTAATTCCCATGACTTGTAATTCTTGTTATAATATTATTACTGATTATTGGGGTTTTTTAAATTCAAACAACTGTGTACTTGTGTAACGGTTAATACAATCAAAGCATATTTGAAGTGCTGGCAAGGTGTAGATTTCATTCAGAAGCCTCTTCTCTTGGCTTATAGGTAGCCGCCATCTCACTGTGCATTCATACGACCTCTCTGTGTGCTTGGAGGAGAGAGAGAGCAAGCTTTCTGGTGTCTTTTCCTGTAAGAGCATTAATTCCATTATGAGGGCCCCACCCCCATGACCTTATTTAACCCCAGTTACCTCCCAATTACCTTCCTCCCAAAGGTCCCACCTCCAAAACCCATCACACTGGGGATTAGGGCTTAAGCATATGAATTCTGGAGGGATCCAAAATTCAGTCCATAACACTAACTAACTACATGGGACTGTTAGCAATAAAACACACCAGGTGCTTGCCCTTTTGCTCTCACTATCTTTGCTAACAGTTATGGGCAACTGAAAACATGTAAGATAGAAGTTTTCATCTTATAAAAATTTCTGGAATTTGAAAGTTATATTAAAGAAAGGTAAAGAATCAAAAAATGAGTTTTGTAAGTGGAGGAATAAGGACTGCTAGTACGTAATGAACAGTAACCATCATTTATTGAGCCTACCTATATTTCAGGCATTATGCTAGGTGCTGGGGATTCCATTGTAAGCAAGACGCTCTGCTTTCTAGGAATTTCCAATCTAGTGGGGAAACAGACAGTTACTTACAGTATGAGTACTGCTACTATTGAGCTGACAAAAGATGTTAGGAAAACACCTAAAGTGCTGATCCTAATTGAGAATTTAGCATGGAATCTGGATGAAACTAGAGTTGGCCTTTATTTACTATCAATAAATAAAAGATGTATTAAATATCTGTGAAAATAGGGAATGAGGGAGAAGAAAACTGTAGTCTTAGCTCTGCTCAGATACCATTTACTCCAGAAATCATCCCTGAATCCTTGACTAAGTGTCCCCGCTCTGTGCATTCCTCCATCTTAGTGTTTAGCAGTTGCTTACTTCTGTCTCCCTCACTAGGTTATAAGCACTTTGGACACAGTACCTAGCTCTAGTAAGTGCCCGGTAAATATTGAATTATGTTTATTTCAATCCCATCAATTTGAAAACATTTTATTAAACTATTTGACTATTTAATTAATTTATTTATTTATTGGTCCCTTTTTATCACAAATGAGAATTGGGAGGAAAAACAAATTTAGAATGAGGACTATAATGCAGGTTTTTATCCAAATCATTGGATAATAATTTAAATCCTATTTCTACCTCCCAAGAATCCAAATTAACCTGATATAAATTGCTTTTTTTTTAAGGCTCCCTCTATTGAGTATACACACACATGTAAACAAAGGACCAAAAAATTCACCAGCCAAGTATAAGCCAAGTTATATACTTATAATTCTTATATAAGAGTTAGGGATTATAAATGAACATTTGGGCACAAAACACAATAAAAAAATTTTACAGATACTTTTCCAATTTGATATCCGGACCTATTAGAGAGAAACAAAGTAGAAATAGTTCACCATGCTCTTTCATTTTAAGATACCGGACTGAATTTGTAGCTTGGTTGAAAAAATATCAAAATATTAATTTCATCTACTCTTTTACTTGTTCCTGTTAGCAAAATAATTCACGCTCATTAGAAAAGACAAAAGTTGGTAAGTATACAAGTAAGGAAAAAAAATATTACCCATAATGCCATTACTCAGTGGCAACAACTGTTTAAATATTGACATATTCCATTCAGTAGTATATATGGGTATACATTTTAGTAGTTGATCATATTCTGTATAATTGGAACTCTTTTTTACTTAATACTGCAATAGATCCATTTTCCTAGGTCACTAAAGAAATTATTGTAAACGTCTTTTTTAATGACTACATATCCACTGTATGGATGTGCCATTGCTTACTTGACCATTCTCATAATATTGGACAGTTAGATTATTTCTAGTTTTTACTTTTATAAATAATGCTGCAGTGTGTGCCTAAAATTATCCACATTATTTTCTTAAGCTAGATTTCTGGACTTGAAAGTATTTTGATAAAAGGATGTGAATATTTTACAGCTTTGATCCATAGCACAGCATATTTTTGCATCAAGCAACACTCAAAATACAGTTGGCAGTAGTATCTACTTGGATTACAGAAATAGTCAAAATTGATTTCCTTTTTTGTGGTCAGCAGCTAGTAACTCCTCTCCCCATAGAAATCCAGGCAGCAGTTTTCTCCACATTCTGTGACAAATGTAGTAGTAGCATTTTATAAGTGTTTTTTTCCTCTTTGGAAATCCTTTAATTTTCATTTTCTGAGTCATTTCGAAGATTTTTCTCAGGAATTTAAATACTGTTTTTCTCCTTCATTATTTTCCTTAAATGTTTTTTCACAATGTATTAACTATGCTTTAGACCTCTCAAGATTAGCTTTGATACCTAAGCAAATTATAAAACCTCTGCCATTGTTTTAATAATTTTATTTATTTTTTCCCCCCAAAGCCCCAGTGGATAGGTATGTCATAGTTGCACATCCTTCTAGTTGCTGTATGTGGGACGCGGCCTCAGCATGGCCAGAGAAGCGGTGCGTCGGTGCGCGCCCGGGATCCGAACCCGGGCCGCCAGCAGCGGAGCGCACACACTTAACCGCTAAGCCACGGGGCCGGCCCCCTCTGCCATTGTTTTAGAAGACCAAATGCATGAATTAATCTCTCATCAAGATGTATAGTATCCAAGGTGATTATAAGACTTTTCTGTTTCAAGAGGGTGAAGAGATGAAGAATTAAATGTAAATAATGCGTAGGATTCACGCAGTCAGAGGAGAATCCATTTTCTGGGTAGCTTATCCTTGGGAAAACGGGTCAAATTAGCTTTGTATATGTGGCTTCTGTGTGAAGATGAGCAGCTAATGCTTTGCTGCTTAGTATTACACCTCAGGTTTCTCTAGGTGAAGATTGAGTTCATCCACCGAGATTTTAGTGCCAGCATCCCAGTGACTATGGCAGCCATTGCTAATGTGGATATATCTCTCGCAGGTAATTCATTGTGAAAGTGTTTAAATCACAGAATATTTGGCAGTCAAAGAAATAAGAACTGTTAAAGTTGTCTATCCAATATTGTATTCTAAGATTGTGGAGATTGGGGATAGGGGTGAAACAGGAGAAAAAACGAGCCTTTAAAAATCTCCCAGGTTAAATATTTATCAAAATGCTACATAGCATTTGCTCTTTATCAGAAATGCTGGATGAGCTCTTCCTAAAATTAGGTTCATTTAAATGAGTAGAGGCAAGAAAAATTTGTTTAAAAGTTTTTGTAAAGTATTTGGTTGCCCTGTGAAATGAAGAATCAGCAACAAAGAGTGGTAAATTTCTTCACTATTTTATTGAACTACAATATGCTAGATACAGTACAGGGCACTAGGAATACAAAGAGAATTAAAAGATAATATGTGGCTTCTCATCTCAGGGAGTCTCTAAGTGGTAGGCACCATACATGTAACAACTGATTGCAGTGTGGTTAGATGAGTGTCCTGAAGGAGTGTGTACCAGGCACAGGGAAATCATCAGGAACAGTGTCTCCTTCCCTCTGGAGAAGGACTGCAGAAAAGAAAATTTGATATTAGTTTGTAACTTCAGGTTAGTCCTTTGTGGATGATGACAAAATAAACTTTTTATAAGGTAGAAGAAGAAAAAAATACATTTTTATCATTGCCAATCTCTGCAACCTCACAGTGGAAGAATTCTTCTGCTGACATACTTGTGGGCAAAAGACAAGGAAAGAAGCATGTTTGTGCAGAAAGTTCCATGCTCATTATTGGAGGTACAAAGTCTCCGTCTCCCATTATTCACTTTGCTTTTTCCACTCTCAGTATGCTTTTTCCACTCTCAGTATCCTTCATCAAGTGTCTTTTGCTGATAAGACCTGAGGAACTTAGGTGCCCTTTTGGTTTGATTCTGGGGAGGGGCCTTTAAGTTAGGAAGGGCATTAATGTTAGTGTCACTTCTCAGTAAAAGAATCGCTCTTTTCTTTGTTTCACTGAGCATCCAAACCATGCTGACCGAGTTAGTCCTTATTCAAGGATAAAACCTATACTGATGTCTTTTAACAATTCCCCCTCTCCTCCACCTTCCACCCTTTTCGTATTTATTTGTTGTTGTTTCTGCCCCCTGCCTGGGTATGCAGCTTCATAGGAATCACATGAAAAGTCTTTTTGGTTTTCTTTTTAGAACAAATGTGACATTTCCTTCATCTCCCTGATTCAGAGCGGAGGAGGGCAAAATGTCAAAAATAATGAGGCCAAATGGATCAGAACACTGAATACCAGTCTGAAACAGTGCTCAGAGACTTTACCTTCACACTCGTCATTAGAGGCAATGAGAGAAAGCTCTTGGGTGGCTGTGAAATGAAGAGACATCTGAAGCAGCTATTCGAGGATTAGGAAAAAGTCCCAGACATAGGTGGCACTCACTTGTTCATGTATTTATTCACACTGTGGAGTGCCAGATGCTTGATGTAAAGAAAAATAAGGTAGAGTCTCAACCTTTGGGGAATACTGTGTGGGAGACAGACATGTAAACTGACTTCTCATGTTTCAGGGCTTAGAAGTAGGAACTATTATTCTTTCAACAAATATTTATTGATCTTCTGTTATATTCCAGATTCTCTTCTAGGTACTGAGAATAATGCAGTGAACAAAACAGAGGAAATGCCTCTATAGCACTTACATTCCAGTTAGGGATGATGGAGGTGAGGAATGGATGCAGGCAGTAAATAAACAGTAAATATATGTTAGGTCAAATGATAATAAGAGCCATGGAGAAAAATTAAGCAGGTAAAAGGGATAGGGATTGGGGGCCAGCCCCGTGGCTTAGCAGTTAAGCGCATGCGCTCTGCTACTGGCAGCCCCGGTTGGGATCCCAGGTGCGCACCGACACACCGCTTGTCTGGCCATGCTGAGGCGGCGTCCCACATACAGCAACTAGAGAAGGATGTGCAACTATGACATACAACTATCTACTGGGGCTTTGGGGAGAAAAGTAGAAAAAAAAGGAGGAGGATTGGCAATAGATGTTAGCTCAGGGCCGGTCTTCCTCAGCAAAAAAAGACGAGGATTGGCATGGATATTAGCTCAGGGCTGATCTTTCTCACAAAAAAAATAAAAGGGATAGGGATTGCCAAACTCCTCACCAATAAGGCAACATTTGAGCAGAGACCTAAAGGAAATAAGGAGTAAAACTAGATGGATGTCTAGGGGAAGAATGTTTAACAATCACAGCTAATATTTATTGAGAACTTACGACATGTCAGGTACTCTTCTACACACTTTACCTTGCATAATATATTTAATTCCTAGGAAATTACATAAAGTACGTACAATTATTATCCCCTTTCCACGTAACTTCCCAAAGCTCACAACTTAACTCCAAAGATCTACCTCATGTACTAAGAAAATGTATTCACTCTATACTGGAGTATAATTAAACCTCTAATTCAGAGTAGAGTCATTTGAACATATGGTAGAATTTTTAAAGACATCCTGTTTTAATATTTTTAGACACGTATTCTGTCTCAAGACTACCAAAATGTTAGTTGGTGGACATCTACAAAGAATTTACTTGCATAAATTTATTAGAATGGTTTTCCATTATTGTTATTGATTAAGATGGTGCTTCAAGGATGGGGAGACAAGTCTGAATTATCACAAATTCTAAATTAAAAATTTAAATGAAGTTTAATCATGATATTTATTTTCTGAAGGAAAAGCTCATTGACCAAATACAAAAGCAGCTTGAAAAACCTCTTAGAGGTCACTCATTATGAAGAAAATAAGGAGCCTTCTGTTTTCAACTTTTTCATGAATTGAGAAGGGACGTTTTGACGTATGTGTGTGTACTTTATGTGACATGCCAATAGGCACTCCAGAATGGTTTCTGCTCCACTGATGGATTCCAAGATGCTTTGTTGATTACTCTATTGAATGCCATAATTAAAACTCTCCTTACTGTTAGAAAGAGGAATTCTTGGGCCAGCCCCAGTGGCCTAGTGGTTAAGTTTGGCACACTCCACTTTGGCAGCCTGGGTTCTGTTACTGAGCACAGACCAACACCACTTGTCTATCAGTGGCCATGCCGTGGCAGCAGCTCACATGCAGAAACAGGAAGATTGGCAACAAATGTTAGCTTTAGGTGAATCTTCCTCAGCAAAAAAAAAGAGAGAGAGAAGAACTCTTGATCAAAGGAGCAGGTCTACCTTTTGCTGATGGGATACCGCCTACTAATAGACTGCTGTGATTTTAGTGACTGTGTAAATTTCTTTCTTTTTTTAGGTACCCCAGTTATGAATTTATTAGTGATAACTCTATCTCTTGGTCAGCTGGACTACACAACCGATATACAGAAAATTCACTTCGGGGTGTGATTCTGGATATACACTTTCTTTCTCAGGCAGACTTCCTAGTGTGTACTTTTTCATCCCAGGTAAGTGGTAGTAGGGCATTTTTAAATGGTCGATACTTTTTGGTCACATTGGGATCAGAAAGTTCGTGTTTTTTTTTTTAATGTTAGTTATTGTCTCAGGTGCAATTTTCCTAATATTTAGGAATGATCCCTTTTGTGAAAGAATGACGAGATTCCGAAAAAAATAGCTATTTGAGTGCATTGAATATTTAGTTGTTTGCAAGCAATGGTTAAATACTTCTCCACTGAAGCCAGCTATTGGAGTTGTTTAAAGCACTTGGCTTGTTCATGGCATTTAACAGAAACGGCAAGTAATTAAGCTTATTTAATATTTTCTGATTTTTCATACTGTCAGTATGTAACTAGAATCCATCCATTTCTACACATTGATGCACTGATACTGAGAGGCTTAAATGCCCAGCATTTTGCCTCACTTGATTGCTTTATAGAAAATAAGAAAGAGTAAATGTAATTCCTGTTCAAGTCCTATTACATTTCTACCAAGCAAAAAACTGTACGTTAAATTTAAGCAATACCATATTATAATCATTCTTTGAATTTAATTGTTGCAGATAATTATATATTAATTGGTTTGGTGTATGTGTTTTTATGAATGGTCCAATCAGCCTTATAAGCCCAGTGGAATATCAGCATAGCAGTATTTACTGTGGATTTTATTCTGCTCTCCCGTTTATGTGCATATTATTGGTTAGTTCTTTCAACAAGCTGTTAATGACTATTTGTGCTCAGAATTATACTAGGTGCAGAGGGGATTTCAAAGGAGATTGAAGATGTGGATCTTACCCTAGTCCAGAATCTAATGAGCAAAATACTCACATGAAAAACTAGATAATAATTACCAAGAAATATAAATCATGTAAGATAAATGAATGCCTAAAACCTTAGAAGAAGTGGAGAAAAGAAAATATGAAAAGGAAAACCACATCGTTTTTATGGGAATATACTGCAGAGAGTATAAAGAAATGGACAGTTTTTTATTATGTGACAATGCACATTGTCACAATGGGATGGTGATATGATTGTTGGAAAGATACCTACTCCAGCAAAAGCTACGTAAGTTCCTTCAACATGGAATAAGAGTATACCTCACTATCCAGAGACAGCTATACAGAACAGGAGTCATATAGCAGCAAACCTAGTCACAAGGAAAAACTTCCTTGGCCTTCAGGTTCCCATGAAGACCTCCACTGCTGATGTTTCTCCCTAGTTGGGGTGAAGATTCTGTCTTTGAGAAGCTCTCTTTTCCATTCTTATGGGGGGTGCTGGGAGGAGTTATAATTACTTGGTTCCTCTCAACTGTTTTTGTGAATCTGGCTATGTGCCTATGTGATCAACAGGTGCAGATATCTAGTAACAACCTCCACACATTTTTGAATGCTTACTGTTAGAATGAGTGAATCAAGAGTCACTTTCCCAGATGTACCACCTCCTCCATAGGCCTAAATTTTAGGCCTGCCTAAAGTCTGTTCCTCTAGTCCAAGATTTCTCAGCCTAGTACTATTGGCATTTTGGGCCAGATAACTTGTTGTGAGACGCTGTCCTGTGCATTGTAGGATGTTTAGCAGCATCCTGGCCCATAGCACCCCCACCTTAAGTTGTGACAACCAAAAATGTCTCCAGACATTGGTAAATGTCCCATGGGCGGGGAGGGAGAGGGCAAAATCGCCCTTGTTGAGAACCACTACTCTAGTTTTAAAGCTCTAAAATTAAATAAATGATATACATGTCTGAACATTTACCAACCTTGCATGTAGGTAGGCACTAAGATTACAGGGATGTGCTCTATGCTTTGCTTTTCCTTCTTCAGCCCTCTTTAATAATATCATTAGGCTCATTCTGGAAAGAAAATGCTTTTTTTCCCCCTTTTCAAGGGTGTGCTGTTCAAGTTTTGATCCTCATAACTCTAATTTTGACCCAGAAATCAGGACCTCTGTCATTTCATGATAGCAGAAATCTGTCCAGGCTTGAGGAGCATGTTGTTCATACTACTGTGTTCTATGTTATGCATAATATTAGCCTCAGTGTGTTCACCAGACCTGGGGTCCAGAGAGGCGGTTCATATGAAGAAAGGGTGGTGCTGAGAGGACTTTTTGTATCCAAATGAATGAGATTCGTGCTTATATGTTATATTGTTCCTAAAAGTTCTTGGCAAATCAGACAAAGTTTATCCGAAATAACTTCCGTTCATTTGAACCAAAGCAAAACTCAAACAATATTTTCAATTTCAAAATAGACTTGAATACCTCAAAACATTTTATGTTAGGGTTCAGAATAAAAGTTTAACAGTAACAATACCTTACATTTATATAGTGAGTAGCAGTTTGCTAAATGTGATCATCTCCGTTATCACGTACGTTTCTTGATGACTAACAGCTGTAGCATTTGAGATTGTGGAATAATTCCACGTTCTGTGATAAATCTTTGGGCTTACTTGTACCCTAATATTTTTTGCAAATATTTTTAGTAAAGAGGTATTTAGTACAGTTTAATATTTTTGCAGTGTGAATAAAATTGGTTGCTGGATTGTAGAGGTTCCCTTGCCATAACCCAAAGTCGGAATTGTTTGAAAAATGCCCCAGAAATATCTCATCGTTAATGGAATGTGAAAAAAAAGTCACTGATAGCATCAAAAAAAATGCCAAGCCATTGACTTCACTAGGCAGAGAACAAGAATGTGGTAACATGGACTCTGGAGTCAGACTATCTGGATTTAAATCCAACTTTGACCCCTTAGTGGCACAAATTACTTAGCCTATCACTGACTTTTTCCTGCCTGTAAAAACAGTGATAATAATAATAATACCTACTACATAGAGTTTTCATGAGGATTAAAGAGTTACTATATGTAAAGCACTGAGAATAGTACTTAGCAATGTGTTAAATACAATGTTAGCTGCTATTACTATTTATACAGGAATAGATATAAGAATATCTTGGCCTGTTAGAGAGATTATACAGTATTTATTTTAGCAGCTGTTTTTCACATGGCCCCGTTTCCAATATATGCTCTCATGTTTTGGAAGGAGTATGAAACCTGCTATTGAAGGACTTCAGCCTCTGCTTGCAGAGTCTTTAGAGTGAGCATCTACAACCACTTCTGTAAATGAGACTCCAGAGTAATAAAAACTGGTTCCAAAACTTGATAAGCAGTATTTTCAAAAAAATCTTTGATATTTTGCCCATACAACTCAACTGTCAATAGCTGTTATTTCTCCAACTATCATTTCTTTGCTTCAGATTTAAGATGGTTTCATTAAATAAGAAAATAAATGACAAAGTAGATGCTTTGGGCATAGGCAATTTCCAGTAACACAGAATAAGAGTAGAGTATTTGGTTGAATAGTTTGGAATGTGATTGCATAGCTGTCAAAATTTACTTAATGCTCTTGGAAAATGTTAATATTGCCTCTAATTTTCAGATTAAATCCTGAGGATTATTCTCTTCAATTTATGAGGCTTTTAGGACAAATTTGGCTTTGAGAAACAGCTCTAATGAAGGCATTCAGAAAACTAAGAGCAACAATAGTAACAAAATTAGAGAGTAGAATCATTATTGGCTTTTAAAAACTTTTCATTTAAGAAGAGATAATTCTCATTTATGGATATGAAACAAAGAAAGAACAGAAGCCCTGAGACTGAAGGGAATGGACCCAAAACCTTATGAGGAATCCTGATTAAGATGCCATGACATTCGTGTCTGCAGTTTCTCAAACATCAATCAAGCCTTGCATTTTTCCTTCTAGGATGGCATCTCATTCTTCCAGAATTGTCTACAGTAGCTCATGGTTAACAGATAAACTCTTTCTCACTATTGTCGTATAGTATAAAAGTCCTCAAAGGATAGTATACAGGAGAGAGAAAGTTCACATGACTAAAATTTCAGGATCATCAAAGCATAATGAAGAAGACAGTCAACTTTCGTCCCTTTCTAAACATCTCTTAGAATATGAGATTATCATCAAGGAAAGTTTGAGAGCTGGTTGTCCATGTTTTATTCTGGGCTGAGATTTGGTTCTCAATGTTTTATTCTTTTGTCACCCTTCTGGATGTAAGGCTTTTAGTCTTCTCATTTTCTAGCATGCGTGGGCACATACAGGAAAGTCTGCAGATTAATTTCCCAAAAGTCAACACATAAACAAGTTTACTTGCATTTGCTACAGCAAATACTATTACTTATCACTCACACTTTGGGAATGAAGAGCTTTTATTTCTGAAAATTTACATTATATGGTGATGTTCTCTTTCAATAAGCTAAATAAAATAGAGTTGAGGTGATATGCTGGCACAGAGAAAATGACTGTGCTGAGTGTTACTGGTTACTCTCTTTAAGAACTGTTATCCTTGTCCAGTGCGGGTGATGACTGCGTGGAACCTAAGCTTTACCCACGACCAGGGTAATCAACATTGTTTAAGGAGCAGTCAACATTGTTCAGTAGTTTCAACCATTAAAATCACCATAGGACAAAATTACTTTTTTCCTCCCGTGATACTTCCCTTTGTGGCACTTATACAGCATTCTCGTGGCACTCTCTCTTATCTAATTCCAAATCCATACACAACAGAACTGGCCTCATTACACTTTGAATCAGATTTTGGAAAGCCCAGAGGGAAAAACCAGGTGCTACATTCATTTTATTCCAGACAGATGGCTCTGGATAGGAGTTTCCATTGAGGTATGGCTCATGAAACAACAGTGAATACTGTTCTCTCATTGAATAGCAAAACAAAGTAGTTTACAGAAGAGTACACAGATCTCCCAGCATCACCTACTGAGACAAGAACTCACTTCTACTTCTCACGCTAGGAGATCCTCCTGGCCCTGTCTATTTTGACAAAAAAACAAGATCCCATCTGCTCTGAGAAAGGTTTGGAGGCTCATGCAAACTCAGCTGGTTGCTCCTCAGGGATAAAATTCAAACTAATTGACCTTCTTCAACCCTTTTTAATTGGTGGTTAGTTTTTTTTGATACAGTCATATCTGTGTTTTATCCTTTGCCGGGAGGTTTGCTCTTACCCATTATCATGTGCTTAGTGGTGTTCTAAAAATAATATGGTGCCATGTCAGCACAGAATGAAATAAAACGTACTACATGTGGCCAGCCACAGCTTTGCAAACTGTAGACCCCTCTCAGTCATGCTGTCAAGTAGTATCAAACCTGAGTACTGACATCAACTGAAAGCTTTCATTTACCTGCCATGTGATTTGATTTGTAAAGCCCAGAGAAGAAGCCTAGGGTGATTAAATGCCAACATCGACACTATAGTAATCTTTCTAGCCCTCTTCAGTAAATTGCCCCATGGTTAATATAGAGAAAAATTTTTAGTTACTCAGAATGTTATATATGAATCTTATGCGTTAAATATCATCCATAGACTTGCATCTCCACTGCTGGACTGGTATTATGCAGGGAACAGTATTAATTGAACAGATACTTACTGAGTGCCTGCTTTGTGGCAGGCACTGTTCTAGGTACTTATCCTAAGGCAGTTTAGTGTATGGTTGAGAGCCAGAAAGAGTTCTAATTGTAGCTCTGCCCTTCACTAGCTCCTTTTCTCATTCTTTTATTTTTCGGAAATTTACTTAATCTTTCTGTGACTTAGTTTCTTCAACTATAAAATATGAATAATAATAGTAACCACCTCATAGAGTTGTTGTTAGAGTTAAATGAGTTGAGAGAAATGGAGTGTGCAAGCGCACTGTTAGAACATTGCCTGGACCACAATCAGTGTTCATTAAGATCAGCTGCTATCATTATCACCATTATTATGAGAAGGATAAAGGGCCCTTATATTGGCCCACCTTAGTGTCTGTAATTTCTACCATTCATCATTTCTTTGGCTTAAGAAAATACATCACCTGCAACTATTGATACCAAAACATGAACTGATTATTAGGATTATCCCCCCAAAAGAAAGCAGGTGCCTAAGAGTATGGGACTGAGGGCAATGTTGTTTTTACGAGAGTGAAACATTTAATAGTAAAGAGGAGAAAACACATCAGGGTTCGTTGCCACAGTGGGCATTGTGGTCATCCCAAGGGCAATACAAGGTTTTGCATTTCTGGCTAAGGATAATTGGAGAGTGGGTGAAGGGGCCCTGAAAAGAAGACTCTCGGCTTTGCCTAAGGTTGGACTTGGCCTTATGTTATGTCTTTCTGGCATTACAGCGTGAACATGGAGAAGAGGATCTACAAGAGAAAACATGTTTAGCAATTAACAAGTGTACTCAGACTGCCTGGGTTCAAAATCTGAATCTACCACTTGATAATGGTGTAACCTTGGGCAAACTCCTTAACTGACCTTTGACTTCAGTAAGATGAGCATGGTAGAATTTATGGGGCTAGAATTTATGGGGCTACTGAGAGGATTAAATTAGATAATACCTAAAAACAATGTCAGACAGCAAAAACTCAGTAAATATTAGCCTCTATTATTGTTATTGTACTTTGCTATTATTGGAGCTGCTTTGTTTTAATTGTTTAGTTTCTTCGTTTTCAGAGTCTACTTGATTTTACTTGCCCTGTTTGGGCGTTTGGCTGGATTTGAAGTTCGTTCAAGTTCCAAATCTCTTTGGGCCTAGTTTTGTTAGAGTTTCAGTGTTCTACCAGTGATCTCAATTGTGTTGTGACATTCCCAATTTGAAATTAGTTTTTTTACAAAGTGGCAAACTTGAAAGCAGAGTCATTGTCTTGGTTCTATGTCTAGTTGCAATTTTAGCACTAGAATTCGGGCAGATCACTTAATCTTCTTGTATTTCAGTCCCTATTGCAAAATTAAAAATACTGTTTAGACTTAGTTTCATTTGCAAATTACATATAGCATTTGAAAAACACTCCTCAAGTTCCTGAAATTCAGATTTTTTAAGAAGTTAAGGCGATGATTACCCTAATCAGATTCCATTTGCTCATAACAGTTGAGAATGAGCATCTCCATTCGGTTTTTGATCTCGTGAATGCTGGAGTTTTAAAGAACTACTGCATAATCCTAAATTGGTCCACTGAGCAGATTAACAATTACTATTACTATTAGTAGTATCATTTTAAATAAATGCAAAAAGTATTGGTACAGGGACAATAAAACTTCATTAACTGAGTTAATCAGTTAAGATTTAGGAATATTTGACCTGAGTTGAGTTCTCTGTTCACAATGTATAATAGAAGAATTTTCTAAGCACAATGATAGTGTTCTCTCTTCTGTCTTCTCCTGTTCTTAGAAAAATTTCTGAAACCCATTTACTCTATAATGAATATATTTATTAACTGCTTAAAATGTTATACCTCCGTGAAGATAGTTTAGTTTAACTTGATCACCAAGCCTTAAACTCAAGGAATGAAGCTCAGATTGTGGAATTTCAGCTGCCATCCAATGGGCATGGTAGGTATTCTTTGAACAGAGGAATCATTTGAGTAGCCTTAAATGTATCAGGTAGATGCATCTTGCCCAAAGGCTAGTCCATCTTATTTCATTCCTAGAATACTACTATCTACGCAACAGACTTAAAACTCTTTAGAACAGAAATGGCAGATATGTTTTAGCCCATTTGCCAATGCTAGTTGATTGTCAGTAATTACATGAGTCTCTGTTGAGAAGAGTTCTGAGACCAAGTCCAAATTAGGTGAAAAGAGTATGCAATTGATTAGCACTGAATAAAGGAAAGGGAGCAGCGGCATTTGTGTAAAGTATTTATAATCCTAATCCTAAACCTTAAATTCTTCAAGGGCACAAACTGTGTCTTACTCATTTTTGTGCCACCAGTGCCCAATATGGAGCACTGTGTGGCTCTTAATAAATGTTTATTAAAATTAATGGATTAATATTCTTACTGTACTTTGCACTATATATGTTTTCTTTTTCTCCCTGAGACCTTAATTGTAATAATCTTCTATGTTTTAAAAAAAACAGATACAAGCACAAAGGTAAAGAATGACTGGGCTGGCCCCGTGGCCTAGCGGTTAAGTGTGCGCACCCCACTGCTTGCGGCCCGGGTTCGGATCCCGGGTGCGCACCAACACACCGCTTGTCCGGCCATGCTGAGGCCGCGTCCCACATACAGCAACTAGAAGGATGTGCAGCTATGACATACAACTATCTACTGGGGCTTTGTGGGAAAAATAAATAAATAAATAAAATTATTAAAAAAAAAAAAAAAAAAGAATGACTTGTGCCATCATCCAAGAAAAAATAGACTGAAAACTTGACTAGAATCCACTACTTCTCATCCTCTCAGTCCTAGTCTAGTCCTAGTCTCTTTGGCCAAAGGCTTTTAGACTGCTATAAAGGAGATCTTACATATGCTAACAAATTTTTTTTCATCCTTTCCCAAGGTCTGTCGAGTTGCTTATGAAATCATGCAAACACTGCATCCTGATGCCTCTGCAAACTTCCATTCTTTGGATGACATCTACTATTTTGGGGGCCAAAATGCCCACAACCAGATTGCCGTTTATCCTCACCAACCTCGAACTGCAGATGAAATCCCCATGGAACCTGGAGATATCATTGGTGTGGCTGGAAATCATTGGGATGGCTATTCTAAAGGTGTCAACAGAAAACTGGGAAGGACGGGCCTATATCCCTCCTACAAAGTCCGAGAGAAGATAGAAACGGTCAAGTACCCCACATATCCTGAGGCTGAGAAATAAAGCTTAGATGGAAGAAAAGGACATCCAAACTCAGTTCAAACCATTTGAGCCAAACAGTGGATGAAGAAGGCCCTGACCTAACAACACATGGTTAAATGAGTAGATACCCTCAGCACCAGGAGCAACTGGGAGCTGACAGATGCTTCATTGGTGGAATTACTCTTTAACAAGGGCTACAATGCCCTCAAACCCATGCACAATCCAATAATGTACTCACATATAACATGCAAACAGATTGTTTTCTACTTTGACCCTTCTTTGAAGATTATGTCCCCATGAAACAAACACTGCCACATTGTGTAATTTAAGTGACACAGACATTTTGTGTGAGACTTCAAACATGGTGCCTATATCTGAGAGACCTATGTGACCCAATGAGAAGACCCAAACAGCTCCCTACTGTGGGGAGGTTGATTCTTAGCCAGTGGTGGTATTGTAACCACTGAATTCACTCCAATCAACAGATTCAGAATGAGAATGGATGTTTTTGTCTGGAATTTTTTTTTTAAGTAATTGTATCAGTTCATCCACCTCATTATTAATAAGTGAAGGATACATCAAAAAATAAAACATTCACACTCGATTAGGAACTTTTGTAAAACAATGCCATGAACAGATTCTTTAGTACTCAATGTTTCTGGACATTCTCTTTGATAACAAAAAATAAATTTTAAAAAGAGGAATTTTGTAAAGTCTCTAGAATTGTACATCATTGGATGATGTGTTGGTCAGCTTTATAGTGGAAAAAAAAAGGAGTTTTATAGTTTTTCTGCTTTACTTTTTTGTTGTTATTGTTCCTGATTGAGTGACTAATCAGGTCTTAGCTCAAAGAGTCATTGGTCCATTTTAATACAGAAAACTGAGTTTAGTTGGTGCACATTACAAAGTTACCAAGAACACTCTTTGGGAGCTGTTATGCCCTTATTTTGAACATTGTTTGTTTATTTGTTTTAATTGAATTAAATAATCATACCCCTTGACCCTAGAGGAACTATCACCTCCATTTCCAAAATTAACAATTTCAGGCTTGTTGGTAACCTTTCTAATTGTGGCTTATGTCACTTTTTGTGAGTTGGGTCCTGTTGTTTTATCCAGGAATCAATTTGTGCCCTTTCCTATCACGTCCTGCTTTTGGGAGTACCAGGAGTCTTTGGAGTTGGGAAGCTGACTCTGTTTCCAAAGTACATGTCCCACAGTATGTAGAATTTGGTGAACAAAGGAGAGAGGTCCAGAGTGAGATCAAAAATGGACTTGGGATTATCTCTTCCAAATACTTCCTTTTAGTAATTCCATGTTAGAATCACTTCAGAAGATAAGACTTTGATGCTCTCTGTGCTTTCTCTCTGAACATCGCTTTTCTCCTTATAAAAACACTTTCTGTTTTCTGTAGCCTGCCTCCTTTAGATGCCTGGCAGGAGTATTTCATAGCATGTGTTCTACCTTCTGAAAGAAAAATTTGATCCCTGTAGGAATCAATAGCAGGCCTAGTGTTGAATATCAGGAATCCCAGACAGAAAAGCTCTGTCCTTCACATCCTCACTAAATGAAAATACCTGCATGGAAGATCTCCCCACCAAACTTACCTAAATTCTTTATCCCTCTCCATTCAAGTCTCCCAAAGTACAAAAACTACCTACCTATAGTGTCAGTAAGCAACTTAGTTTTAGTACAAAAAAAGTCATTTGAAACAAAAGTCTCTAACTGAGCAGAGGTACTTTTGAATATGAGTTATTTTCTAATTCCAATCTTGCTTGTCATCAGAACACTAGTAACTGCGGGTTACTGATAATACCTGCTTTATATTTCTCTGCTGCGATTTCCTGTTTCTATTCATTACCAGCATGTTTTCTTTTACTTCACTGAACATAGTTATAACTGCTTTAAAATCCTTTTCTGCTAAATCCAACATCTGAATTGTCTCAGAGTTGGTCTCCATAGTTTGTCTTTTCTCTAGAGAAAGAATCATATTTTTCTGGTTCTTCAAATGTTGGGTAATTTTAAATTGTATCCTGAGTGTTGTAAATGCTTATGTTGTGGATTCTGTTGTATTCCTCTGAAGAGTGCTGAGTTTTTTTGTTTGTGTTAGCAGGCATTTAACTTCATTAGACTCAAACTGTAAACTGCGTCTTGGACAGCAGCTCAAATCTCAATTGAGTTCTTTTATCTTTGGCTAGAGTCTTTCTCACACATGTCTGGTTCAGGAGTCAGCCAGAGATTGGGGTAGAGTTTATGCACAGAATATGGAGCTCTGTTTCTTCTGAGACTCCCCCCCTCACTTTCCACCAAGTGTGGTTGCTCTAATTCTGTGGTTTACTCTGATCTTCAACCAGAAATACTGGAGTTTTCTGTCAGCCTAAAAGCTATAAAAATGAGAAACTCACCATGTGCCTTTCCCTTCTTCCAAGTTTCAGCCTTTCTCCAGAACGTGCCTGCTTTTTTGTTCAGTCTCCAGTGCCGTCAGGTATTTTGTGTTTTGTCAAGAGTTTATAGTTGTTATCCATTCCATTAGAAGATCTGCTCGGTAGGTGCTTAAACTGTGCTATACAGAAAGTGAAACTCTGAGGCAGAGACTTAAAATGAAAAAGAGTGGTGGGGGAGAGAGAAGCTTAGTCCTATGACAGCCTCTGTTTAGACTCTAGCATTAATAAATAGCTAAGGAGCCAGTAGCTTCAAGCAGGAAGAAAGATGAAGAACTCACCAAATTGTTAGACCTGCAGGTGTGTAGGGCTAATGAACGCTGCTGACCACATCTTCCTGAAAAGCTTTTCTGAGTCACTTTTTTGCAAATCATCATGTATTTGTTGGTGATTTCTCCTATATGTGCTGCCGTGTTAGAAGGGCTGATATTTCCTCACCACTGTTATACTTTCTCCGTGAGGACCCGGTATTTAAAAACTCTGCATGGTTTTGAATTGAGTGACCAGTGCTAGATTAGGAAGGTTTGGGTCTTTTCCTTGTTACAAGACCCATTTCTGAAAGAACCAAACCTAGAACCAAATTATTAGCCTGGGCTTATTGAACATCGGTACCAGAATTCTGCATATTAATGACAAAGCAGTTACAAAAGGTCTTATCAAGCCTTTCTTGCCCCTACCACTCCCGTCTGAGTAAGTGCTAAGCTGGCACTCTTTTAAAGAATTCCTGCCTGTTGTGAAAGGGCTCCCACCTCTAATCCAAGGTTTCATTGTGTCCCAAATGAACAAGAGAGTAGTTGCTTCCCTCTCTGAGCTTTGTTTTTTTTTTATTATGTAGAGCCTAGCCTGTTTCCTGGGTTCCCTCCTAAGAAAGTTGAGAACGTGAATGGCCTTAGTTTCTGAGGGTTGAGGGTTAACAGAGAAAAAGCATATTTAAAAAGCTATCTCAGGGGCCGGCCCGGTGGCACAAGCGGTTAAGTGCGTGCGCTCCGCTTTGGTGGCCCGGGGTTCACAGGTTCGGATCCCGGGTTTGCACCGATGCACCACTTGGTAAGCCATGCTGTGGCAGCGTCCCATATAAAGTAGAGGAAGATGGGCGTGGATGTTAGCTCAGGGCCACTCTTCCTCAAGACAAAAGGGGAGGATTGGCATCAGATGTTAGCTCAGGGCTAGTCCTCCTCACAAAAAAAAAAAAAAAGCCATCTCATAGAGTGATTACTATCATCATCATTTAGTTCTGAGAGAATACAATCACTGTATATTTAAGCAGGAAAAGTATTGGAGTGTAAATGGTGCATCTAGAAGAATCTCCTCTGCCTCAATGAGAATAAATCTTTCTTACTTGAGGGGCAACAGACACGTCCTCTTTGACCATAGCCAACTGCCTGATGTTTTATTTGTGCTCCCAAGAGGCTGTGCAACAGCCAGGACCGATAGACTTGGACAGAATAGATGTGTGGCTTTGGCATTGATGAATTTGGGAACTTGGCTATAACACACTAATATATGCCAGATACAGACTCTAGGGAATTTTAAAAATGCAGTGCCCAGAGGGAAGCACAAAGGAGAATTTGCCCCTATATTTAACTGGTTCCTGGCAGCATTCCTCATGGAATCATGGAGGAGCTGTTCCAGGATCCCTGGCAGGGCAGAGGCAGGCCTTGGTAAAGTCTTTGGCTTCAGCTGTCATTGACATTATGCATGTTTGAGCACTTGCTGTTTGACAGTGCATTCATTTTTGGTTCTTTATACAAGTCAGAATCGCTGACTCTGAGTACCTGCTCAGCTATGCAGCCTTGCCATCTCCAGTTCAATTCAGTTACCACCTGCTTTCTCCTCTCCTTATCCTTAAATAAGACAATCTTGATTTTGTGTTCCTGTCACCTTTACAGAGAATGATCTCATGTGAATGGTTCCCTTGTTACTATTCGATTCCTCATGCAGTTCCTGTCCTAATTACTTACAGACTGTAGTTTTGTCATTGGCATCTCCAGGATATAAAGGGAACCAAATATCCCCTTGGACAGTTTTAGGTAAGATATTCCTAGACCTGAGGTATAGTGAAGCTATGATACTGTGCATTAGTGGCCATTTAAGCTAAAGATTTTCACAAATCAATGTCACTGCTCTCAAGGGGAGCATGGCTAGGGCATCCTTTGTCTAAAACTATGTCAATCCAGGGCTGGCCCCGTGGCTTAGCGGTTAAGTGCGCGCACTCCGCTGCTGGCAGCCCGGGTTCGGATCCCGGGCTCGCACCGACGCACCGCTTCTCCGGCCATGCTGAGGCCATGTCCCACATACAGCAACTAGAAAGATGTGCAACTATGACATACAACTATCTACTGGGGCTTTGGGGGAAAAAATAAATAAATAAAAATTACAAAAAAACAAAACAAAACTATGTCAATCTGGACAGAGTCTGCACTTTTTTAAAAGCAATATGTTGAAGGCCATGGCCATAACCATTTGATATTTGGGGAAGAGAGCTAGGAAGAGAGTTCAGAGCTCCTACTGACCTCCTGTCATCTGTAACTGTTCTCTATAACTTCTCCTCCCACGTCAGTGTCCATGGAAGCTGTTGTTCCCTAACTGCCTATGTGAGTAAAGAAAAGGCCATTAATAAAGGAAAAAGCAGCATGTTTGTTCATTACCCAGCTGGGTATGAGAGCATTTGTGGAGGCTGGGAATGTGCAGTGCTTTGTACAGAGAGCACAGATAGTTTAGACTGTGGTCGTGGTCAGCAGCCTGAGGAATGCTGGGACTCTGAGTTGCTGGCTAGTCTTAACTTCCCTGGTGGATTGCAGCCGCTAAGAATTTCTGGCCCAGAGAACAAAATGGAGGGTAGTGGGTGCAAAGGCAGAAGACCTAGTTCTCAGTTTTATTTCTCCTTGTCATAGTGCCCATAAGCAGGTAGTGTCCCTGTATCTCAGATTCTCTGGGGGAAAAATCAGTAGTACCCACTGAAGATCACTGAACTGGGATTCAGAACCCCTGGCCCTCTAATTTTGACTGCCATTAAACATGGACAGGTTAGTTTTTCAAAGCTCCATTTTCTTCATCTGTGGAATGAATTGGTTGGATTTAATCAGGGTTTGCAGATGTTATTGTGCGGTTGGGTTCCACATGTCTAAAGAGGTAGCTACTACTCAGCCTTAGTTGATTATTGTCCTAAGGACATAATGTGGCCAGATCTTTGTTTTTTAACACAAGCAAAATCTATTTTTTATGCAAAATATTCAGATTTTTAAATATTAGCAGATGATTCAAAAAATATATAAAACACTAAGGGGAGCAAATAAGACATCTGTGGCTACTTTTGGTCCATGGTCCATTAGGTTACAACCTCTGGATTAGATCTAGGTTCTTTTTTTTTTTTTTTTTTGTGAGGAACATCAGCCCTGAGCTAACATCCATGCCAATCCTCCTCTTTTTGCTGAGGAAGACTGGCCCTGGGCTAACATCCGTGCCCATCTTCCTCCACTTTATATGGGACGCTGCCACAGCATGGCCTGACAAGCGGTGCCTCGGTGCGTGCCCGGGATCCGAACCCGGGCCGCCAGCAGCGGAGCACACACACTTACCCGCTACGCCACGGGGCCGGCCCCCTAGGGTCTTTTCTAACTTCAAGATTCTGTCTCTGGAAAGGGTTGGTAAGATGGGGAACAGTTATACAATGCCTTCGGGTTCAGTTGCTGCACATGTCCCAGTTTTTTGGAAATGTCTACTTGGCCTGGCTGTCATCTTGGGCTCAGAAGCAACTTTGTATGCTGAAGGACAGCTGTGCTGTGATCCTGGGCCCCACTCAGACTTGGCCTTGAGGAATCAAAGCTGCTCTCTTTTACTGTCCTGACCACCAATCTTGATTTCCTATGCTCAGCTCACAGATCGGCAATGACTCAACAGGCCACAAACTGAGGTGCCACCTTAGGGAGGTCCTGCTGTTTTTCTCCATTACACCCAAATGCCAAGATATCAGGGTATGCTTCCAGTCTCTGGTTCTCAGCGTAGAGAGAGAGATCGCGACTCTTGGTAGTCTTTAAGAAAGCATGGTGAACTAGGAGGTGCTGAATGATTGAAGAGGAGCAGATATTTCTGTTTTTAAAAACAAGAAGAAGATAGATTATCAACCTATAGAATGATAAATTTGACAAATCAGAGTAAGGTTTTAGACTAGATTATTAAGAAGTTAATGGTGATAACTATGCAAGAACCAGACATACCAAGCTAATCTTATTTCTTATTTTCGTGTGGCTTTAGAGTAATGAGAATTACAATAATGGCTAACGTCTATTGAGCACTTTCTATGTCCCTGGGGTTTTTCTAAGCATTCTACCTGGGTTAATTTATAATTACTGTAATCATAAGGTAGGTACTATCATTATCTCCATTTTATTCTCTAGGAAACTGAAGCACAGAAGTCCTACATAATTTGCCCCTGGTGGTAAAGTTAGAGGGTGGAGGAGCCAGGATTCAAATGCAGACCGGCTGGCTGTCAACCACTTCAGGGAATACTGTGTCTGTGTATGCTGCCTCTAGGATTCCAGCATGGCATTAACTGTATTATTGTAGACAAGACAGAGCAACTGAGGCTACATGAGCATAGGTAGTTGTATTAAGAATTAGCTGTATCGGGCCGGCCCTGTGGCTTAGTGGTTAAGTGCGCGCGCTCCGCTGCCGGCGGCCTGGGTTCGGATCCCGGGTGCGCACCGACGCACCGCTTCTCCGGCCATGCTGAGGCCGCATCCCACATACAACAACTAGAAGGATGTGCAGCTATGACAGACAACTATCTACTGGGGCTTTGGGGGAAAAATAAATAAATAAAGTCTTTAAAAAAAAAAAAAAAGAAGAATTAGCTGTATTTATTTAAAAGATTTGATTAACTCAAGTCTCTGTGGGTTTGCCATAGAGCTCTCTCCTGACTTGTTCACAAAGTTTATTAATGCTTTGAAAAAGGACATTGATAGGAACGATATGATGTAGTAGTTCAAAGTATGAGTTCTCTTGTCAGTCTGCTTGGGTTTGGATCTTGGGCCCTCTACCTATTGGCACTGTGACCTTGAGCAAGTAACTTAACCTTTCTGTACCTTCATTTACCCATCAATTAAATGAAAATAATAATAGTAACTACTTCATAAGGTTTTTGTGAGGATTAAATAAGTTAACATGTGAAAATCTCTTAGCCCAGTAGGTGTCACAAAGCTCAACAAATGTGAGCTATGATTATTATTATTGCATTGTTATCAAATTTTTTTGACTAAAAGTGACTATAGGTGAGATAATAGTAAATTATATTGTTTGAGAGAATTAGAAGATCCCTAAAAGTTGCTTAGAAATCGAAATGAAAGGGTAAATCTAGGATATACTCAGGGCTGAGAATCAACTGCATTAGATAATGAACACTAGAGAACTTACATACTGTACAGCTTACAAATGTAGTTTATTCTTAGGTCCAGAAGGCCAGCTGTGCCTCACTTCAGCCTGTGGGAAATGTAACTAAAGACTTAGAGAATTTAGTTGCCCATAAACTTAGTATTTCCAGTAGTGTGCTGTGACTCCCCCTCCCACTCTGCCCTACCCCTCAGAGACAGAAGTCTCCAGACAGGGATGGTGTTGGACTGTTGAATTTCACCTGGTACTCCGTGATAGCGTCTTCAGATATTGGTGAGGCTGCTGTGTGAAGAAGCAAGTAGGGTGGTTTTATGTGACTGCAGTGTGCAGAAGCAGGAACAATGAGAGTAAGTCTAGCTCAACATATAAAAGAACTTCCTAATAAATTGTGTTAATGATAATGACACAAGCTAATTTAGGTGACAGCTTCCTGTCCTTGCAGGGATGTCCAAGCTGAATTGGGTGTAACAGCGTGTAACATATAACGGGTTAGATAACCTCCAAGTACCCTTCTAGCCCTAAATTTCTAAAAAGCTCATGGATTTATGGTCGTGTTGTAGAGACTGAAATTCCAACAAGGTCGTAAGTGGCGGGAGCCTGAAGCTGCCTGGATTAGAAGCTGCACAGCTTGATCTGGGGCAAGAGGAACAAGGGCCTATCTGTTTGCTAGACAAGGTGACTAGGTCTTTTTCTAGATCTCGGTTACAATCGAGTAACTTAATTTTTTGTCTAATGTAGCAGGCTTTATAAACCTACCTGTTTAAATTTGGAAACTCCTCTTTTGTTTGTTTTCTTCCCCACCTTTGTTTCTTGGTAAAGTTTCTTTCATAGAATTACAGCTTTGTTTTCATCTAAACTAGGAGAAAAGAAATTTGTAGAGACAAAGGCCAAGAGAACTGAGGAGTCAGAGTTCCCTTGGAGGCCAAGAGTGGGGGTGACATCCCTCTCTGGACTAGATCTGACTTTTCCTTCCCATTCAGAAAGTCAAAAAACAAACAAACAAACAAAAAAAAAACACAGTTATGTTGAAATAAAGTTTTAAAAAAAAAAAAAAAAAAAAAAAAAAAGAAAGTCAAAACAAGCGTGAGTCCCTTCTGATCTATTTAATTATTTTTAAAGTAATATCCATAAACGATGGAAATTGTTTGCAAACATACCTCACAATTGATCACTGCATACTGGTGGGTCACCATGCCAAGAATG